ACAGGTTAGAGAAGAGATGGAGTGATGTGGTGCAGGAGGACGTGGAGCTGAGGACTTGCCGATGACCGGTACCAGCGGTGTCAAGATCGGCCTCTGTGGAGGAGGCTCATGAAGGACGCTACTGGGCAGTTGGAGGCAGTCGCCCTCCAGCAACAACGGAGGGCGGAGGAGCGACGCTCACAACAACGAGCAGAGCGCCGGGTGGATAAAACACAGCAAGTTGGCACAGTAGGGGGCACAGGTGATGCATCAGCCAGTCACCTCATTCAGTCGACCCATGGCACCTGGGTCTGTCCCGTGACCTCCTGCCAGTGGGCGTTCGACACTTCACGTGACCTCAACGTGCACATAGCCTGGCACAAGCGCCGTGGTGACGTCACCGCCACTTAGTGGCCAATGGCGGTTTTGTTGTAACGGTGGTGGTTGTGGTTGTTTGTATGTAACGGTGGTTGTGGTTGTGTGTGTGTATTGATGATAGTTGTGGTGGTGGTTGTATGTGTGTGTAACCGTGGTGGTTGTTGTTGTGGTGGTTGTGTGTCTGTAATAGTTGTGGTTGTGTGTGTAACGATGGTTGTGGTTGTTTGTGTGTATTGATGATCGTTGTGGTAGTTGCGTGTGTGTGTGTGTAACCATGGTGGTGGTTGTTGTTGTGGTGGCTGTGTGTGTCTGTAATGGTTGTGGTGGTTGTGTGTGGTTGCAGGTTCTCTCAATGGGAGTCTGTCCACCATCCCTGCCTACTCTCTGGGCTCCGTGGTGCTCAAGGAGGCTCTGGCTCGTGCCTCCATGTCCCCGAACGACGTGGGGGAGGTGATCCTGGGACAGGTACTCACAGCCGGTAAGACGCGGAGACAGACGCACACACACACAACTCTCTGCCACACACTCGCTCACTCTCTCACTCATACACTCACACACTCGCTCAAACACTCACTCACACTCACTCACTCGCTCACACACTCGAACACTCGCTCATACACTCGCTCACTCGCTCAACCACTCGCTCACCCACTCGCTCACTCTCTCATACACTCTCCCCACTCGCTCACTGTCTCATACACTCAAACACGCTCACTCACACTCGCTCAAACACTCACACTCACTCACTCACACTCACTCACACACCCACTCGCTCACACAACAACAACCGCCATTCGCCACTAAGTAGCGGTGACGTCACCACGACGCTTGTGCCAGGCCATGTGCACCTTGAGGCCACGTGAAGTGTCGAACGCCCGCTGGCAGGAGGTCACGGGGCAGACCCAGCAGGTGCCACGGGTCGACTGACTGAGATGACCGAGATGACTGGCTGATGCACCACCTGTGCCCCCTACTGTGCCAGACACTCGCGCACACACACACATAACTCACTGCCACACACTCGCTCACTCTCTCATACACTCAAACACTCGCTCACTCACTCGCTCACTGTCTCATACACTCAAACACTCGCTCACTCACACACTCACCCACTCGTTCACACACTCACACACTCGCTCAAACACTCACTCACTCGCTCAAACACTCACTCACACTCACTCACCCACCCACCCACTCGCTCACACTCGCTCCCTCTCTCATACACTCGAACACTTGCTCACTCACACACCCACTCGCTCACCCACTCGCTCACCCACTCGCTCACCCACTCGCTCACCCACTCGCTCGCCCACTCGCTCGCCCACTCGCTCGCCCACTCGCTCGCCCACTCGCTCACACACTCTCTCACTCGCTCATTCACCTATTAACTCCTCTCACCCTTTCTCCCCGCGTGTGTCTCTCCGTGCGTCTCTCTGTCTCACTCTCTCCTCCCCGTGTGCGTCTCTCTCCGTGTCTGTCTCTCCATGCGTCTCCCTGTCTCTCCCTCCGTGTGTCTCCATGTCTCCCCGTGTGTCTCCCTGTCTCCCCGTGTGTCTCCATGTCTCACCCTTTCTCCCCACGTGTGTCTCCCTGTCTCACCGTGTGTCTCCCTGTCTCACCGTGTGTCTCACTCTCTCTCTCCCCGTGTGTGTCTCCCTGTCTCTCTCCCCGTGTGTGTCTCCCTGTCTCCCTGTCTCCCCGTGTGTCTCCCTGTCTCTCTCCCCGTGTGTGTCTCCCTGTCTCCCCGTGTCTCCAGGCCAGGGACAGAACCCGGCTAGGCGTGCGAGTCTGTCCGCGGGTCTCCCTGTTTCCGTCCCCGCGTGGGGACTCAACATGCTGTGTGGCTCCGGTCTCCGCGCCGTCTGCCTGGGGGCCCAGGCCGTGAGGCAGCGGGACGTGGACATCGTCCTGGCCGGGGGGCAGGAGAGCATGAGCCAGGTGACTCTCTCTGTGTGTCTCCATGTGTGGCTTTGTGTGTGTCACTGTGTGTGTCTCCACACGTGTGTCTCCACGCGTGTCTCCGCGTGTCTCCACGTGTGTCTCTGTGTGTGTCTCTGTGTGTGTCTCTGTGTGTCTCCACACGTGTGTCTCCACACGTGTGTCTCCACGTGTCTCTGTGTGTGTCTCCGTGTGTCTCCACGCGTGTCTCTGTGTGTGTGTCTCTGTGTGTGTGTCTCCGTGTGTCTCCACGCGTGTCTCCACGTGTGTGTCTCTGTGTGAGTGTCACTGTGTGAGTCACTGTGTGAGTCACTGTGTGTGTCTCTGTGTGTCACTGTGTGTCTCTGTGTATCACTGTGTGTCTCTGTGTGTCTCTGTGTGTGTCTCCACGTGTGTCTCCACGTGTCTCCACGCGTGTGTCTCTGTGTGTTTCTGTGTGTGTTTCTGTGTGTGTCTGTGTGTTTCTGTGTGTGTCTCCGTGTGTGTCTCCGTGTGTCTCCGTGCGTGTCTCTGTGTGTGTCTCCGTGCGTGTCTCTGTGTGTGTCTCTGTGTGTGTCTCCGTGTGACTCCACGTGTGTCTCCACGTGTGTGTCTCTGCATTTGTGTCTCTTGCGTGTGTCTCCACACGTGTGCCTGTGTGTCTCCACGTGTGTCTCCACGTGTGTCTCCGTGTGTCTCTGCGTGTGTCTCCACGCATGGCTTTGTGTGTGTCTCTGTGTGTCTCTGTGTGTCTCTGTGTGTCTCCGTGTGAGTCTCTGTGTGTCTCCGTGTGTCTCTCTGTGTGTCTCCATGTGTGCCTGTGTGTCTCCACGCGTGTCTCCACGTGTGTCTCTGTGTCTCCATGTGTCTCTGCGCGTGTCTCCGCGCCTGTGCGTGTGTCACCCTGGGGTAACGTGTGTGTGTGTGTGTGTGCGTGTGTGTGTGTGTGTGTGTGCGTGTGTGCGTGTGTGTGTGTGTGTGCGTGTGTGAGTGTGTGCGTGTGTGTGTGCGTGTGTGTGTGTGTGTGCGTGTGTGCGTGTGTGTGTGTGTCTCCCCGTAGGCCCCCCACGCTGTGTACGTGAGGGCGGGGGTGAAGATGGGAGACGCCACGATGGTTGACACCATGACACACGACGGCCTCATAGACTCCACCCTGCACTACCACATGGGAGTGACCGGTAACACCACCACCACCACCACCACTACCACCACCACTACCACTACCACCACTACCAAACCACCACCACCACTACCAGACCACCACTACCAGACAACCACCACCACTACCAGAACACCACCACTACCACCAGACCACCACCAGACCACTACCAGATAACCACCACAACAACAACAACCGCCATTCGCCACTAAGTGACGGTAACGTCACCACGACGCTTGTGCCAGGTCAGGTGCACCTTGAGGCCACGTGACGTGTCAAACGTCCGCTGGCAGGAGGTCACGGGACAGACCCAGCAGATGCCATGGGTTGACTGACTGAGACGACTGGCTGATGCACCACCTGTGCCCCCTACTGTACCAACTTGCTGTGCTTTAGCCACCCGGCGCTCCGCTCGTTGTTGTGAGCGTCGCTCCTTCGCCCTCCGTTGTTGTTGGAGGGCGACTGCCTCCAACTGCCCAGTAGCGTCCTTCACGAGCCTCCTCCACAGAGGCCGATCTTGACACCGCTGGTACCAGTCATCGGCAAGTCCACTCAGCTCCACGTCCTCCTGTACCACATCACTCCATCTCTTCTCTAGCATCACTCCACACGCAGAAGCTCTCTGTCTCTCTCTCTCTCCCCGTGTCTCTCTCTCCCCGTGTCTCTCTCTCCCCCCGTGTCTCTCTCCCCGTGTGTCTCTCTCTCCCCGTGTCTCTCTCTCCCCCCGTGTCTCTCTCTCACCGTGTGTCTCTGTGTGTCTGCGTGTGTCTCTGTGTGTCTCTGTGTGTCTCTGTGTGTCTCTGTGTGTCCGCGTGTAGCGGAGAACGTGGCGAAGCAGTTCTCGGTGTCTCGCCGTGACCAGGACGACTTTGCGGCGCTGTCCCAGGCGCGCACCGCGGCCGCCGTGCAATCCGGAGCCTTTACGCGGGAGATCGCCCCCGTGTCTGTCGTCACGCGCAAGGGTGAGACACGGGGACACTGGGACACTGAGACACGGGGACACTGAGACACGGGGACACGGAGACACGGGGACACGGAGACAGGGAGACACACAGACACGGAGACACGGAGATACGGGGACACGGAGACACAGGGACACGGGGACACTGGGACACTGGGACACTGGGACACGGGGACACTGGGACACTGAGACATAGGGACACTGGGACACGGGGACACGGGGACACTGGGACACTGAGACACAGGGACACTGGGACACTGAGACACTGGGACATGGGGACACTGATACACTGGGACACGGGGACACTGGGACACGGGGACACTGAGACATAGGGACACTGGGACACTGAGACACTGGGACATGGGGACACTGATACACTGGGACACGGGGACACTGGGACACGGGGACACTGGGACACTGGGACACGGGGACACGGGGACACTGAGACACTGGGACATGGGGACACTGATACACTGGGACACGGGGACACTGGGACAAGGGGACACTGGGACACTGGGACATGGGGACACTGATACACTGGGACACTGGGACACGGAGACACGGGGACACTGGGACACTGGGACACGGGGACACGGAGACACACGGAGACACGGGGACACAGAGACACACGGAGAGACACGGGGACACTGGGACACTGAGACACAGGGACACTGGGACACTGAGACACTGGGACATGGGGACACTGATACACTGGGACACGGGGACACTGGGACACGGGGACACTGGGACACTGGGACACTGGGACACGGGGACACTGGGACATGGGGACACTGATACACTGGGACACTGGGACACGGAGACACACGGAGACACGGGGACACTGGGACACTGGGACACGGGGACACTGGGACACTGGGACACGGAGACACACGGAGACACGGGGACACAGACACACGGAGAGACACGGGGACACTGGGACACGGGGACACGGAGACACACGGAGACACACGGAGACACACGGAGAGACACGGAGAGACACGGAGACACGGAGACACAACCGTGGCTAATCGGAGGTGTGGGGGTAAGGATAACAACAACAAACTAAACAACAACAACAACAAACTAAACAACAACAACAAACTAAACAGCAACAACAACAAGGAGCAGCTCTACAGAGATGAGTTTGTCAATGGAGATGATGAAGAGCGTTCCAGACGGCCGCAGAAGAAGCAGCGCAATTTAAAGCACCGCACAAAGTGTAGAGTAGTGTGTAGTGTATAGTAGTGTAGTGTGTAGTGTAGTGTGTAGTGTAGTGTAGTGTATAGTGTAGTGTATAGTGTAGTGTGTAGTGTATAGTGTAGTGTATAGTGTAGTGTGTAGTGTGTAGTGTAGTGTATAATGTAGTGTATAGTGTAATGTGTATCCCTGTCTCCCCGTCTCTGTCTCTCTGTGCGTGTTTCTCTGTCTCCCCGTCTCTCTGTGAGTGTCTGTGTCTCTCTCTCTGTGTCTCTGTGTGCGTGTCTCTGTGTGTGTGTCTCTGTGTGTGTCCCTGTGTGTGTGTCTCTGTGTGTGTGTCTCTGTGTGTGTGTCTCTGTGTGTGTGTCTCTGTGTGCATGTCCCTGTGTGTGTGTGTCTCTGTGTGTGCGTGTCCCTGTGTGTGTGTGTGTCTCTGTGTGTGTGTCTCTGTGTGTGTGTTTCTCTCTGTGTGTGTGTTTCTCTCTGTGTGTGTGTTTCTCTCTGTGTCCCTGTGTGTGTGTTTTTCTGTGTGTGTCCCTGTGTGTCTGTGTATGTGTGTGTCTCTGTGCATGTCTAGGGGAGGTTGTCGTGACTCAGGATGAGTTTCCACGGCCTGGGACGACGGTTGAGAGTCTGGGACGACTCAAGCCGTGCTTCGTCACGGACGGAAGCGGCACCGTGACCGCCGGGAACTCATCCGGTACACGACAGACACGGGGAGAGAGAGAGACACGGGGAGAGAGACACGGGGGAGAGAGACACGGGGGAGAGAGACACGGGGGAGAGAGACACGGGGAGAGAGACACGGGGAGAGAGAGACACGGGGAGAGAGAGACACGGGGAGAGAGACACGGGGAGAGAGAGACACGGGGGAGAGAGACACGGGGAGAGAGAGACACGGGGAGAGAGAGACACGGGGAGAGAGCGACACGGGGAGAGAGAGACACGGGGAGAGAGAGACACGGGGAGAGAGAGACGCGGGGAGAGAGAGACGCGGGGAGAGAGAGACGCGGGGAGAGAGAGACGCGGGGAGAGAGAGACACGGGGAGAGAGAGACACGGGGAGAGAGAGACGGGGGGAGAGACACGGAGGGAGAGAGACACGGGGAGAGAGACACGGGGAGAGAGAGACGGGGAGAGACACGGGGAGAGAGAGACACGGGGAGAGAGAGACACGGGGAGAGAGAGAGACACGGGGGAGAGAGACACGGGGAGAGAGAGAGAGAGAGACACGGGGGTGAGAGACACGGGGAGAGAGAGAGAGAGAGACACGGGGGTGAGAGACACGGGGGAGAGAGACACGGGGAGAGAGACACGGGGAGAGAGAGACACGGGGAGAGAGAGAGAGAGACACGGGGGAGAGAGACACGGGGAGAGAGACACGGGGGAGAGACACGGGGAGAGAGAGACGCGGGGAGAGATACGGGGAGAGAGAGACACGGGGAGAGAGAGACGGGGGGAGAGACATGGGGGGAGAGAGACACGGGGAGAGAGAGACGGGGAGAGACACAGGGAGAGAGAGACACGGGGAGAGAGAGACACGGGGAGAGAGAGAGACACGGGGGAGAGAGACACGGGGAGAGAGAGAGAGAGACACGGGGGTGAGAGACACGGGGGAGAGAGACACAGTGGATGTGGTTGTATAGTAGTAGTGGTTGTAGTATAGTTATAGTGGTGGCTGTATAGTTATTTTTATAGTTGTGGTGGTTGTGGTAGTGGTGGTTGTTGTACCGTAGTGGTTGTGGTGGTTGTTGTAGCCTAGTGGTTGTGGTAGTTGTGGTAGTGGTGGTTGTGGTGGTTGTTGTACTGTGGTGGTTGTGGTGGTTGTAGTGTTTGTGGTGGTTGTAGTGGTTGTGGTGGTGGTTTTGGTGGTTGTAGTGTTTGCGGTGGTTGTAGTGGTTGTGGTGGTGGTTTTGGTGGTTGTAGTGTTTGTGGTGGTTGTAGTGTTTGTGGTGGTTGTGGTGGTTGTGGTGGTGGTTGTTGTACCGTGGTGGTTGTGGTGGTGGTTGTGGTGGTGGTTGTGGTGGTTGTAGTGGTTGTGGTGGTTGTAGTGGTTGTGGTGGTTGTAGTGGTTGTGGTGGGTGGTTGTGGTGGTTGTTGTACCGTGGTGGTTGTGGTGGTGGTGGTTGTGTTGGTTGTTGTACCGTGGTGGTGGTTGTGGTGGTGGTTGTAGTGGTTGTAGTGATTGTGGTGGTGGTTGTACCGTGGTGGTTGTGGTGGTGGTTGTGGTGGTTGTGGTGGTGGTTGTTGTACCGTGGTGGTTGTAGTGATTGTGGTGGTGGTGGTTGTGGTGGTGGTTGTGTTGGTTGTTGTACCGTGGTGGTGGTTGTGGTGGTGGTTGTGGTGGTGGTGGTTGTGGTGGTTGTACCGTGGTGGTTGTGGTGGTGGTTTTGGTGGTTGTAGTGGTTGTGGTGGTTGTGTTGGTTGTTGTACCGTGGTGGTGGTGGTTGTGGTGGTGGTGGTTGTAGTGATTGTGGTGGTGGTTGTAGTGATTGTGGTGGTTGTGTTGGTTGTTGTACCGTGGTGGTGGTGGTTGTGGTGGTGGTGGTGGTTGTAGGAGTGAACGACGGTGCTGCCGCCGTCTTGTTGATGACGGAGAGCGAGGCCCAGTCGCGGGGCCTGAAGCCTCTGGCTCGCCTGGTCTCCTGGGCGCAGGCCGGAGTGGAGCCGAGCATCATGGGAACAGGGCCCATCCCAGCCACAACCAAAGCGGTGAGGCAGCCACAACCACAACACAACAACCACAACCACCAAAACAACCATCGTCACAACCACCACCACAACCATCGTCACAACCACAACAACTACAACCACTATCACAACCACCACCACAACCACCATCACAACCACCAACACAACCACCGTCACAACCACAACACAGCAACCACAACCACCATCACAACCACAACCACAACACAGCAACCACAACCACCATCACAACCACCATCACAACCACCATCACAACCACAACCACAACACAGCAACCACAACCACCATCACAACCACCATCACAACCACCATCACAACCACAACCACAACACAGCAACCACAACCACCATCACAACCATCATCACAACCACCGTCACAACCACCATCACAACACAGCAACCACAACCACCATCACAACCACAACCACCATCACAACCACAACCACAACACAGCAACCACCATCACAACAACACCGTCACAACCACCATAATTGTTGATGTTGTGGTTGTTTAGCTGTTGATGTGGTTGATGTTATTGTTGTTTTTGTTGTGGTTGTTGTTTTTGTTGTGGTTGATATGGTGGTTGTTGTTGTGGTTATTGTTGTTGATGTTGTGGTTATTGTTGTTGATGTTGTGGTTGATGTTGTTGTTGTTGATATTGTGGTTGATGTGGTGGTTATTATTGTTGTTGATGTTGTGGTGGTTGTTGTTGTTGATGTTGTGGTGGTTGTTGTTGATGTTGTGGTTATTGTTGTTGTGTAGCTAGCGAAGGCTGGCTGGTCTGTGCAGGACGTGGATCTGTTTGAGCTGAACGAGGCGTTCGCCGCTCAGTCGCTGGCCGTGATCCGCAAGCTGGGACTCAACACGGAGAAAGTGAGACACACGGAGACACAGAGAGACACAGAGAGACACAGAGAGAGACACGGAGACACACACACAGAGACACACACAGAGACAGACAGAGACACACACACAGAGACAGAGACAGACAGAGACACACCGACACAGAGACAGAGACAGATAGAGACACACACACAGAGACACACACACAGAGACAGAGACAGACAGAGACACACACACAGACAGAAACACACACACACAGAGACAGACACAGACAGAGAGAGACACAGAGAGAGACAGAGACACCCACATGGAGACAGAGAGAGACACGGAGACAGAGAGACAGACAGAGACACAGAGAGACACACAGAGACAGAGAGACAGACAGACAGAGACGCACAGAGAGAGAAGCGCGGAGAGAGAAGCGCGGAGACGCGCGGGGATGCTGAGACAAGGGGGACATGGAGGCAGAGGGACGCAGAAAGACAATGGAAAGAGACAGAGACTGTCACCCTGTGTGTCTCCCCATGTCTCGCATTGGTTACATTGATCAATGATGAGACGTTGACTACCTCACCTGGTGTACAGGAGGTCGTGGGTTTGATCCCGACCCGAACGCCTGCTGCTGTATATTTGGAGTTTGAGTCTCTCTCTCTCTCTCCCCATGTCTCTCTCTCCCCGTGTCTCTCTCTCTCCCCCCGTGTCTCTCTCCCCGTGTCTCTTTCCCGCCATCTCTCTCTCCCCGTGTCTCTCTCTCTCCCCGTGTCTCTCTCTCCCCCCATGTCTCTCTCTCCCCCCGTGTATCTCTCCCCGTGTCTCTGTCCCCATGTCTCTCTCTCTCACCGTGTCTCTCTGTCCCCGTGTCTCTCTCTCCCCGTTTCTTTCTCCCCGTGTCTCTCTCCCCGTGTCTCTCTCTCCCCGTGTCTCTCTCTGTAGGTGAACGTGAGAGGCGGTGCGCTGGCTCTGGGTCACCCAATCGGTGCGTCTGGGTGCCGCGTGTTGGTATCGCTTCTCCACTCGCTGAGGGACACGGGCGGTGCCCGGGGGGTGGCGGCGCTGTGCGTGGGCGGTGGCATGGGGATCGCGGCGTGCGTGGAGACGGTGGAGACAGCCTGAGACGCGCACACACACACGCACACACACACGCACGCACACACACACGCACACACGCACACACACACACGCACACACAACAACAACAACAACCGCCATTCGCCACTAAGTGGCGGTGACGTCACCACGATGCTTGTGCCAGGCCAAGTGCACGTTGAGGCCACGTGAAATGTCGAACGCCCGCTGGCAGGAGGTCACGGGGCAGACCCAGCAGGTGCCACGGGTCGACTGACCGAGATGACCGAGATGACTGGCTGATGCACCACCTGTGCCCCCTACTGTACCAACTTGCTGTGCTTTAGCCACCCGGCGCTCCGCTCGTTGTTGTGAGCGTCGCTCCTCCGCCCTCTGTTGTTGTTGGAGGGCGACTGCCTCCAACTGCCCAGCAGTGTCCTTCACGAGCCTCCTCCACTGAGGCCGATTTTGACACCGCTGGTACCGGTCATCGGCAAGTCCACTCAGCTCCACGTACCTGTACCACATCTCTCCATCTCTTCTCTAGCCCGTGCCGCGCCCGTTTAGCCCCCTCGATTTGGCCGAACAAAAGCTGTTTAGGCATGCGGTGGCTGGGCATGCGGGCTACATGACCCAGCCAACGCAGCCTTGCCTGCCCGGAGGAGCTCACCAGTGAGCACCTATCTAATTATCTAATTAATAAGCACTACCACACACACGCACCACCACACACACGCACCACCACACACGCATGCACTCGCGCACACACACAAATTGCCCACACGCGCACGCACGCCTTACCCTACCTTTTCCTACATTTATCTAGCGCCCTAACCAAGGCGCTGTACAGTGAACTTATGTTGGCACAAGGCGAGATGAGACGAGCCGATGGGATATCTGTTCAATGTGGTGGCGGTGACGGCGGCGGCGATGCGTGGAATAAACGGAGGTGGAAATGAGACGGAGTGGATTGATGCCTGGCGGCTGTGGGGAGTTTGTGTCGGGGGGGAGGCGTCGTGAGGGCGAGTTGGAGAAGGAAGGGGGAGGGGGGGCAAGAGAGAATAAGTTGTGGGGGGGGGGGGGGTGCGATTGAAGTGCCACGGGCAGTGGGTCACAGTGAAGAGGAGCGAGGATCGAGCGTGGATGGAGGAACGGGAAGGGATCGGAAACGACTTCGACCGCAGAGGGGCGGTGCAGGTGTCATGTTCTTGGAGGGAGACGGAGTCTTCGTAGAGGCAACACGCTTTATTTCACCAACAGTTACACTAATCCCTAACACAAAGGGGTAATGGCCCCTTTCACCCACAACCTGGGGAGCTACAGCCTCCGGGCTATCGTACCTACAACTCTCCCTACTCCAGCCCTCCGGCTGGCTAGACCTAGGGGAGGCTGACCCACCGCTGGCCCGGTGGGTCCCTGACCACCGGCCCGTCCGGACCTGGCCCTCACAAGGGCATCAGGCCGAGGGAACCTCAGGGTCCTAACCCGACGGCCACTGGCACCACACTGAGCCCCGGCCCTTAGAAGGACGTCGGCGGCTTGGGGTTCAGGGTCTCCTTCTTCAAGTGGCTTCTGGCTTTGGCTTGAGACGGACTGACTCGCGCTCTCAGGGACCCGCCTTATATACTCTCTCTCCCTGAGGGGCGGGGTTCTGGGGGATCGTAGCTCCTGCCAGCCCCCTCCCCTCAGAGGGGTTCCAACCGCCGTTGGCCCGACCGGTCCGGACCGGTTTCTACCCCTCCCCCCCCCCCTGGTTGTGGCGCGTATGTGTCAATCATGACCACCACATCGGCAATGTCAAGTCGGGCTGAACGATTAATCGATTTCGAAATCAAAATTTGAAGCAATGCGATTAGCAAACAGCAAAGGCTGCAATTTGTTGAGATTTTATAAGTCCTATTATTGGAATTTTATTTTGTATTATAACTTGATTTATTTAACTTAATAGTTTTGTGTTTGATTATCCTATTTCAATTAAAACATTTTAATAAATACATGTTGGAAGCAATTCATATATTTCAAGTTCTCATCCTTTAGAATATTTTGAGCGGTTCATATTTTAATGGTATCACGTGGTAATGCTCCATCACATGTTTTAAATCTATTACACACTGAATATTGACCTGAAGCTGGACTTTAAAACATGTAGTCGCAAATCAAATCACAATATCTGTCAGACAAATCGCAATGAGATTTTTGTCCCCAAATCGTTCAGCCCCAATGTAAAGTGAGACGAGAGGAGAGTGAGGCCGTGGAGAGATTCATAAACTAAGCTACAAGGATTCATCTTCTTGGTTCTTTCGGTAAAGTCACGTAGAATGGAAATAAAAAATAATTTAAAAACGTGATAAAATAATTAGCACGATGTTTCAGCCACAACGCAAGCAGCCGTCCTCAGGTGGAGAACAAGTCTGTTCTCCACCTCCCCGACAGACCTGTTCTCCACCTGAGGACGGCTGCTTGCGTTGTGGCCGAAACGTGAGAATTATTTTATTACGTTTTTTTTATTATCATTTCCATTCTACGTGACTTTACCGAAAGAACCAAGAAGATAAATCCCTGCACTCACGAAAGCTTTAAATCGAAATTTAAGCTACATGGAATTTAAAAGATGATAGACGTGGAGCCAGTGGGTGTAGCTGAACGAGGAGGGGGTTTTAAAGATGATCCGGGCAGTGGCATGTGGAATCTGTTGGGAGTGCTTTGAACGTGTAGGACGGTAGACCGACCGTGAGAGAATTGCAATAGTCGATTCGAGTAAAGGCGAAGGGGCGAATCGGGTTTTTTGGTGGCAGTGATTGTGGTGAAACGGCGGATTTTACAAATACGAAGGTGAAAACGCAGGAATGAGTAGTGGTGGTTGTGTGGTCAAATAGGGAGATTAATGCGTCGAAGATTTCATCGAGGTTGCGGACAGACTACCGGAGTGATAGAGAATGGGCGAAAGGAGATGGTGGGACATGGTGGAGGAGAACGTGAAGCTGGGAAGAAAGAGGATTTGTATGTGTGTGTTTTCGTTTAAAGGGTTGATGGAGAGAAAGTGTTGGGTCATCCAAGACTGGGCGGTGATGAGATGAGAGGAAATGTGCAGAGCAAAATCTGGAGTGGGGGAGGAGGGGAACGAGAAAAAGAAAAAAATTAAAAAGTAAATAAAATAAAAAGAAGATAAAAAAGAGAAAGAATAGAGAAAAAAGAAACGTGTGCGTGGCGTCAGAAAAGAAATTACGTGGGAAGATTGAACGATGAGAGGTGGGATTCAAGTCGAGATCGATAAAGAGACTCGCTTTCCTACCCGGCTTCGCCCGGGACTTGGATTCACCACGCCCGGCCGCCTTTGTCTCCCCAGTGGCGATGTTCACACCACACCAGTTACTCGTTTGAGGCTGAGTCGAACTAGGGGAGGCCCAGGAGCGGTTCAAATAATCGTCACCGGTGGTGGCCGTGAGCGGGAATCGAACTCGGGTCGCCGGGTTCATAGCGCAGCGGCGCGCTAACCACTGCACCACCACTCCCCACACACAGCGCGCTAATTGCTACACTACCGCTCCCCACACACACACACACAGTGCCCTAACCACTGCACCACCACTCCCCACAGCGTGCTAACCGCTACACTACAACGCGCCACGCTTCCACACGCGCGGGTCACGTGACAAATGTGACGTCTCAGCTCACTTGCCGTGCAAAAAAATATATGCATTATTGAGCCTCCCCCCCAAAAAAAAACACAAAAGTGTATTTTAATATTTTGTGCATGGTGTACAGTCTGGAAAGTACCCACATGGCAAATTTCACGTTTGTTGCATGTCGAGAAGTACGCTGAACATTTTGAACACACACACATAATCACAACTTTGCCTTTTATATAGATGGATATTAAAGCGAAGGGCGCTGATGACAGAACCTTGGGGGACATTGACGGGTGAAGGGGGAGAGGTAACGTGGTCGAATAAGAGAGCCGAAGTGCGCAAGGACAGATAGAACTGGACTCGAGAAAGAGCGGTTGCCCGAGATGCCAAGAGAAGAAAGGGCAGAAGGGATTGGTCAATTGATCCTAATGGCGGTACCCCGGGATATAGCAAAATACAAAATGGCCGAATAATACAAATGGCCGAATAAAACAAAATGGCCGAAATCAGTGCTACTCCGCGATGTCGTAACGCAGCGAGGACGATTGCGCCGAAACCCTGAACGATCATCATACGCACCGTAGTGGTGCATCGTAGTGTACAGCTCGTCGAGATGAGTCGATTGCCGCATCGCCGGCCATCGACAGACTAAAAATAAGTAATATTTTTTTTAAAAACTTTTTAAAAACACGCTTTTATGAAATGTACTGGTAATGGCAGAATTCCACGACTCCAGGAAGTGGCCCCGAAGCTTGCCACAACGTAAGGGACTGTGGACAATTAGACCCAAGCCGAAACATAACAAAAATAATGTAAAAAAATATGTTTTGTATTTGTTATGATAGAATACAGTATTGTCATCAGTATGACATAAGTATACCAAGTTTGTACTCGATACCACATTGGGAAGTGGGTTAAAATTTAGTTACAAGATTTGAGGCTACAACAACAACAACAGAGTTAAAAGAAAGCGTGTAAAAAACCACAGCGACAAACACCGCCACACCAAACACAAGCATCCACCCGGACACCGAGCACGGACCAGTGATGCAAGCGGGCCAGGATGAGCACAAGCTGATGATGATACACACGAACCAGCGTCAGATCCGAAGTTATGTAGACGGGACCGTAGCGGTCGCAGCCCAGGCGTCGCCTTGCACGCCGATCAAACCCCGGCAGGTTCTGCGTCTCTCTCTCTCTCTCTGTCCCACTCATCGTCGTCGAGTGGATTTTTCTCCGGGTCCTCCAGCTTTTTTCCCTCCACATTTAGAATTAACGTCACAACGCGTTTTAGAGTTTTTCTGGCTGCCGCTATGAATGTCATACTTTTTGGTTCGTTTGGTAAAGTCACGAGGTATAAAATAAATAAAATCACGACGTTTCGGGCGCAACACAAGCGTCCGTCGTCAGGTGGGACAACCACAGCAAAAACAATTGCTGAAGTGGGCAAAAGGGCTGCCGTGACAAGAGGCTATATAGGTATGAGAGGGGGGAGCCAACGCGGAGAGAGAGAGGGGGGAGGGACCAGGGGGGAGAGACAGAGAGGGGGGAGGGGCCAGGGGGAGAGACAGAGAGGGGGGTGTGGGGTAGGGGAGTGAGTGAGGCATTGCTAGAGGGATGAGGAAATGAGCGAAGAAAAAGTGAGAGGGGAGAGGAGTCATCTTTTGTGAGAGCCGGGCCGCTTCTGAGAAAGTAGTCCCGTGGTACCTCGGTATACGACCGCTTTGAAATACGTCGAATTTGGTAGACGTCGTGTTTTGACGAGAAAAACATTTCTTGGGATACAACATCTTTGCTTGCCGGAACAGTATTGTGTGGAATGACCAGACAATGTCACACTTCAGGAACATTCTTAGAAGGCAAAAACAAACTTCAATGGACAGATTTTTAGTCAAACCAGAGTGCCATGACCTCACGCGACCATCGTTCGGTTGGCACCCACACACCCTGTCCTGTAGGGCCAGCACTGCACTTACAGCCTGGAGCCATCCAGCGCTATGATCCAGCGCACGCCGTGCCCCTATAGGGCCGGTACTACACCGACACCAGCGCACACCGTGCCCCTATAGGGCCGGTACTACACCGACACCATTGTGGTATCCGCCGACTTCGCGACACCTCACGCCGTGCCCCTATAGGGCCGGTACTGCACCCACAGCCTGTTGACATCATCCAGCGATTTCACTACACAAGAGTAATATGAGGATGCACCTGGGGGGTAACTGGGCGATGGTGATTGGCTCTGCTGGCCTCAGCCCGCAGCCAATGGGACGTCGAACCAGGGGCGTGGCCTGTGGCTGCATAGCAACATCTGGAAGGTTCCAGGGGGTGAGGCTGATGATTGGCTGCGTGCTATCACGTGGGCCAGGTGTTATAAGGGGTGTGAGGAGAGACAGCTCCGGGTCAGTGTGGAGAGGGGCTGAGGAGGGACCACGTCTGTGTCACCGGCACGTCAGCGGCCACGTGGCAGGCCGGAGGCCGTCTCTCAGAGGTCGCAACCGGGTACCCGATATCCGTACCCTACCCGATACCCGGCCAGGTACTGGCAGCCGGGTATCGGGTAGGGTACGGGTACCTGATTGCGACCTCTGGGATGAAGCCATGTTGCAGGCGTGGGTGGGTTGATTCTAGGAACTTGAATTGTGAGAAGAGACAAGACGTTGGGAAATGAGTGACAAACGGTGACTCACCAGTGACTCACGGATAACCCTACCCGGCCGCACCAGGGTCGGTAAGGAATCAAAACCCGTTTGCGACCTCTGCCGTCCCCTACACACCGTCAACCAGCGGCGTGAGGGAGCGAGCGGACGCCGCCACGTTCGGGGAACGGAGTAACAGGGGGAAGAGGAACCTGGCTTGTGAGGGAGCTGTGGAATGAAGAACGAAGGAAGAAAAGACAAAAGACACGATCTCGTCTGGAGCGCATTTATTAGACATGTGTAGGACTCTTACTGACGCGACAACTTCTTTGTCTTTCACGTTCCTTTTATTTCGCATACAGTTCACATCTCCGACGGCATCGTTCAATGTTCCTCCGTACTCTTCAATGTACAATTCTCCATCAGCCCCACTCGATGTCCCTCCGTTCGCTCGTTCTGCTGCTTCGCTCGCTCTCTCTCCACCAAGGTCCGTTACTCCGCTGCCTCGCTACGCTGTACTCGCTCCGTCCTTGCCACTCTGTCCGTACTCTCTATATCCACTGCTACCGTATACTGTATTCTCTTTGTCCACTGCTACCCTATACTATACACTCTTGTCCACTGCTACCTTATACTATACGCTCTTGTCCACTGCTACCCTATACTATACACTCTTGTCCACTGCTACCCTATACTATACACTCTTATCCACTGCTACCCTATACTATCCACTCTTGTCCACTGCGACCGTATACTATACACTCTTATCCACTGCTACCCTATACTATACACTCTTGTCCACTGCTACCTTATACTATCCACTCTTGTCCACTGCGACCTTATACTATACACTCTTATCCACTGCTACCCTATACTATACAATCTTGTCCACTGCTACCCTATACTATACACTTGTCCACTGCTACCTTATACTATCCACTCTTGTCCACTGCGACCTTATACTATACACTCTTATCCACTGCTACCCTATACTATACAATCTTGTCCACTGCTACCCTATACTATACACTTGTCCACTGCTACCTTATACTATCCACTCTTGTCCACTGCGACCTTATACTATACACTCTTATCCACTGCTACCCTATACTATACAATCTTGTCCACTGCTACCCTATACTATACACTCTTGTCCACTGCTACCTTACACTATACACTCTTATCCACTGCTACCTTATACTATACACTCTTGTCCACTGCTACCTTATACTATCCACTCTTGTCCACTGCTACCCTATACTATACACTCTTATCGACTGCTACCTTATACTATACACTCTTGTCCACTGCTACCTTATACTATACACTCTTGTCCACTGCTACCCTATACTATACACTCTTGTCCACTGCTACCCTATACTATACACTCTTGTCCACTGCTACCTTATACTATACACTCTTGTCCACTGCTACCCTATACTATACACTCTTGTCCACTGCTACCCTACACTATACACTCTTGTCCACTGCTACCTTATACTATACACTCTTATCCACTGCTACCCTATACTATACAATCTTGTCCACTGCTACCTTATACTATACACTCTTGTCCACTGCTACCTTATACTATACACTCTTGTCCACTGCTACCTTATACTATACACTCTTGTCCACTGCTACCTTATACTATACGCTCTTATCCACTGCTACCTTATACTATACACTCTTGTCCACTGCTACCTTAGACTATATGCTCTTATCCACTGCTACCCTATACTATACACTCTTGTCCACTGCTACCTTATACTATACGCTCTTGTCCACTGCTACCCTATACTATACGCTCTTGTCCACTGCTACCTTATACTATAAACTCTTGTCCACTGCTACCCTATACTATACACTCTTGTCCACTGCTACCCTATACTATACACTCTTGTCTCATTGCTACCTTCTACTATACACTCTTGTCCACGCTAACTTATATTCTACACTCTTGTCCACTGCTACCTTATACTATATGCTCTTATCACTGCTACCCTATACTATACACTCTTGTCACTGCTACCCTATACTATACACTCTTGTCCACTGCTACCTTATACCTATACACTCTTGTCCACTGCTACCTCTATACTATACACTCTTGTCCACTGCTACCTTATACTATACACTCTTGTCCACTGCTACCTTATACTATACACTCTTGTCCACTGCTACCTTATACTATACACTCTTGTCCACTGCTACCTTATACTATACACTCTTGTCCACTGCTACCTATACTATACACTCTGTCCACGCTACCTTGTACTATACACTCTTGTCCACTGCTACCTTTATTTATACGCTCTTGTCCACTGCCTACCTATACTATACACTCGTGTCCACCTGCTACCTTTATAACTATACACTCTTGTCCACTGCTACCTTATACTATACACTCTTGTCCACTGCTACCCTATACTATACACTCTTGTCCACTGCTACCTTATACTATACACTCTTGTCCACTGCTACCCTATACTATACACTCTTGTCCAGGCACCAACTCCAACGCCAACTCCAACACTCACAATGACTCCCGTATCTCCATACGATCACTGCCTTTATCCACGAACCAAACAACCCCAATTAATTATGTCATCCCCCGCTTCGCTACTCGCCCCCAGGCCCCCAGCCTCACGTGATCCTGTTATCGTAGCCACCCCGGCGCCCGTCCCAGACACTTACCCTCTCGACCAATCACCGGTCTGCGTCCTCAGTTACCCTGAACACCTGTGGCGTCTCTTAATGACCTCACCCCTTAATTGGCGCAACAACAACTCTATGTCCTCAGTTGCCCCCACTGTCCGCTGCACGCTCGCATCGCAACCAATCGCGTGGCGCGTGTCATTTCAAGTCCTACACAAGTATCAGAGCAACATATAGCTTTGGTCGAGCAGTTGTATCAATGGGATACATTATTGTCAGCATGAAAAATGATGAAAGATAAGAATATCTTTCCATGCCGTTTCTCTGGCAATGAAACGGTTGTTGTGTTAAGATGTTCGAATACCGAATAGATTGCTTTTTGCAAGGAAATCAAGTCTGCATGATCCACACACGTTGCTTCGTGGCAAAACATGCAAACGTGCTCTGATAATGAGTCTATGCATTGTCTTTGAAAATGATTGGCCTACACCAGAGACGGCCTTCTGTGTGGCCTAGTCTCACCAGCAGTGTTCGTCGACGAGAAATCAATGGCAAAAAGGCGAACGGTACAGTGGCAATGCCAAATATCACAGCACTTACAGCTCGAGTCGAGCGATGGAGTGCCGCTTGCGTGACGAGGCACCGTGTGTGTGTCACGGTGTGTGCTTATGACCGGCTCCAGTTCAACAGCAGAGGTCTCACTCCGAATCAGTCGAGCGGCATTATCTTTTCATCGGTTGCGTAACGCTGTGTGGAAGCTACCTGGTCTGTCGCTCCGCACGAAGCTTCATGTCTTCTCGGCCACAGTAATTCCCTCCCTTCTCTACGCATGCGAAACATGGACCCCCCCTAATGGAGCATCTTCGCCGGTTGGAAACATTTAGGCTGGCCTGCCTACGATCCATCCTGGGTTTAACCAGGTTAGATTGTGAAGAGTTCACAAATCCTCCAAAGATCTGGGCCATGTCCCATCGGTGAGCTCCTCCAGCAGGCAAGGCTGTGTTGACTGGGTCATGTAGCCCACATGCCCAGCCACCGCATGCCCAAAGAGCTTTCGTTCGGCCAGTTCGAGGGGGCTAAACGGGCACGGCACGGGCCAGAGAAGGGATGGAGTTATGTGGTATAAGAGGCTCATGAAGGACGCTACTGGGCAGTTGGAGGCAGTCGCTCTCCAACAACAATCGAGGGCAGAGGAGCGACGCTCAGAACAACGAGCAGAGCCCCGGGTGGCTAAAGCACAGCAAGTTGGCACAGTAGAGAGCACAGGTGGTGCATCAGCCAGTCATCTCGGTCATCTCAGTCAGTCGACCAGTGGCACCTGCTGGGTCTGTCCCGTGACCTCCTGCCAGCGGGCGTTCGACACTTCACGTGGCCTCAACGTGCACCTGGCTTGGCACAAGCGTCGTGGTGACGTCACCGTCACTTAGTGGCAAATGGCGGTTGTTGTGATGGTGGTTGTCATGGTGGTGTGTGTGTGTGTGTAAGGCGTGTGTGTGTGTGTGTGAGGGAGAGACGCACACAAACACACAGAAGGCCCGAGCAGACGCGGTTGTAGTGAAAATTACTTCTCATTTATTCTTCACAAGAACTCGCGCAGAATTTACAGCCACCCACCCGCCCGCCCCTAACCCCACATCTACCCCTAACAACCCATACCCCTATCCACCGCTACGCCTTCCAAACTATACCCCTAGCCATCCCCAAATACCCATGCCCACCCCTTCCTCCCCATCGTGACCATGAACCCCCTCGGCCTGGGTGAGGAGGAAGAAGCATCTCCCCCCCCCTCCCACTAAAAAGTGACGCACACAGACGGCCTCACGAATCGCCACAACAGCAGCAGCGGCAAACGAACCCACAGAGACTTCAGGCTCTAGAACCTGAGAACCCAGAACTTCTAGAACCTGAGAACCCAGTCTCCCAGTGTCTCTAGAACCTGAGAACCCAGAACTTCTAGAACCTGAGAACCCAGTCTCCCAGTGTCTATAGAACCTGAGTCCCGGTCTCCCTGACTCTCTGGACTCATTCACTGTCTGATTCTTCACATTCGTAGCCACCGGAGCTCCTAAACTCTAGCAACATCTCATCAGCATCATCGTCATCATCGCCATCGCCACGATCACCACCATCGACACCATCGACACCATCGACACCACCGGCACCATCACCACCATCGCCACCATCACGCCCATCGACACCACCGGCACCATCACCACCATCGACACCATCGCCCCCATCTCCACCACTGGCACCATCACTACCACCGGCACCATCACCACCATTGCCACCATCACCGGCACCATCACCACCAGCACCACCACCACCATCTCCACCACCGGCACCATCACCACCACCACCACCACCATCGCCACCTCCGGCACCATCTCCACCACCGGCACCACCATCACCGCCTCGAGCCCGGCCCCTCCCTCGCCCCCTGCCCCGTCGTGGGGGCCTGCCCACCAAGCCCCTGCCCCTACCTCTGCCCCTCCCTCCCCTCCCTCTGGCCCTGGCCCCCCTAGAGGAGAGGTCCTGGGTGGGGTGGGTGGTGGGGTGAGAGGTGGGGTGGGTGGTGGGGTGGGTGGTGGGGTGGGTGATGGGGTGGGTGATGGGGTGGGTGATGGGGTGGGTGGTGGGGTGGGTGGTGGGGTGAGAGGTGGGGTGGGTGGTGGGGTGGGTGATGGGGTGGGTGGTGGGGTGGGTGGTGGGGTGAGCGGTGGGGTGAGCGGTGGGGTGGGTGGTGTTTTGGCTGGTAGGGTGGGTGGTGGGGTGGGTGATTGGGTGGGTGGTGTTTTGGCTGGTGGGGTGGGTGGTTGGATGGGTGATTGGGTGGGTGGTGGTGTGGCTGGTGGTGTGGCTGGTTTTGTGGGCGAGGAGGGAGGAGGGGCGGGCACAAAGCGCGCGGGAGAGGAGCGAGCGCAGGGAGGGGGCCGCCAGCGGAGTAGAGGAGAACCACGGAGAGGTGGAGGAGGGAGCCTCCCCCGGCGGAGAGTCCAGGGGGGTCAAGTAGAGGGGGCCGGGGGGCCCCCCCTCGCTGGCACAGCAGGACGAGGGGGGGCTGATCACATGGGGGGGGAGGGGAGGGGGGGGGCACAAGGAGGAGGGAGAGACGGTAACGTTAGTGAGGCGATGCAAGCGAGTGCCGGGAGGCGCTCTACACGCACCAAACACTCGTGTGGTCAGGGTGGTGGCGTTTGTTGTGGTGGTGTAGTGTGGTTGTTGTGGTGGTGTAGTGTAGTGTGGTAGTTGTGGTGGTGTAGTGTGGTTGTTGTGGTTGTTGTGGTAGTGTGGTGTGGTTGTTGTAGTGTAGTGTGGTTGTTGCGGTTGTGTAGTGGGGTTGTTGTGGTAGTGTGGTTGTGGTAGTTGTGGTAGTGAAGTGGTTGTGGTAGTTGTGGTTGTTGTGATAGTTGTGGTTGTTGCGGTAGTTGTGATTGTTGTGGTTGTTGTGGTAGTTTAGTGTGGTTGTTGTGGTAGTGCAGTGTGGTTGTTGCGGTAGTTGTGGTTGATGTGGTTGTTGTGGTAGTGTGGTTGTGGTAGTTGTGGTAGTGTAGTTGTTGTAGTTGTGGTTGTGGTAATTGTGGTTGTTGCGGTAGTTACATTTTGGAGAGGTAGGTTTCGTAAATGCGGACCGGACAACGCTCACGATCCCAGAGATTTTCCGACATAATTCCTGAAATGATCGAAAACATCATGATCACCATCACCAATACCATCACCAACAATAACATGAACATCACCACCACCACCACCATCATCATCAGTCACTGCAGCAGGATAAATAACCCATAATAGAGGTGTTTGTTGGGGTTAGATCGCGTAAAAGTGCCGTTAAAACCCGCCATCACAAACGTGTCCGTCGCCTAATGAGGCTAGCTGCGATTAAATCTTGACTTAAAGCTTTAAAGCCACGTAGGCGGAAAAGATAACACGAAATTATCGACGTTTCGATCGCAACACAAGCGGTCGTCTTCAGGGATTTATTTTGTCTGCCTCCGTGGCTTTACCGAAAGAAAGAATGTTGTGAGTTGCAATCACCGGCGAAACGTCGAACTCAGATTGTAAATGTTGTGGCTTGGCTCTCCAACTCACAACCAGTGTGCTGTACTAGTATACTACACTATACACTACACTATACACTACACACTATACACTACAACATACACTACACTGTACACTAGTATACTACACTATACACTGCACTATACACTACACTATACACTACACTATACACTAGTGCTGTACTAGTATACTACACTATACACTACACTATACACTACACTAGTGCTGTACTAGTATACTAAACTATACACTACACTATACACTAGTGCTGTACTAGTATACTACACTATACACTACACTATACACTACACTATACACTAGTGCTGTACTAGTATACTACACTATACACTGCACACTAGTGCTGTACTAGTATACTACACTATACACTACACTATACACTACACTACACACTACACCAGACATAGGCAAAGTACGGCCCCCGGGCCGTATATGGCCCGTTGGGCTTTTAAATTATTATTAAATTAAATTTTACCTTCCTCCTGTAATGCCCCCATTTTCCCATTAGATGGCGCACGTTGACCGGGAGTGTGGTATATAGGGCTGGAAAGGGCACATGATCTCGCAATGCATTGTGGGCCTGTCAGCGCCATTTTCAGGGTTTGTTTACATTGCTGAGTTAGATATGGTGCTCCCTTCACTTTTTCGCTTTGCCCTGTGAGCCCTTCTGTAAAGTGAGCGGATCAAGGAAACGAAAAGTGGACAATGAGTTTCGATTTAAAGCTTTCGTGACTGCAGGGATTCATCTTCTTGGTTCTTTCGGTAAAGTCTCTGTCTACTCGACAGAGTCTCTGTCTACTCGACAGACCTGCTCTCCACCTGAGGACGGCTGCTTGCGTTGTGGCCGAAACGTCGTGATCATTATTTTATTATTTCCATTCTACGTGACTTTACCGAAAGAACCAAGAAGATGGACAATGAGTGTTTAACACGGAGTGGACAACAAAATACTTTTCACTGAAGTCCAATCGAAGGCTGTATGCCTGATATGCCGAGAAACTGTCGCAGTTTTCAAGGAGTGCAACATCAGCCGTCACTTTGCTACGAAGCATGCTGACTACGCGAGCAAGCCGTCAACGCAAGAATGGGCGGCTACGGCTCAGAGGTTGGCGGCTAATTTACAGACTCGGCAACATTTTTTTCACCGACAAACTGCGATTCAAGAGTCAACTACCAAGGCAAGTTTTTTGGTGGCATACGAAACAGCAAAGGCTGCTAGCAAGCCTTTCTCCGAAGGCGAGTTTGTAAAAGAATGCACGGTACAGACAGCAGACATCTTGTGTCCGGAGATCAAAAGCAAATTTGAAAAAGTCAGTTTATCACGCAGGACTGTGACTCGCCGTGTGGAACTGACTGATGAAAATATAGCCAGTCAATTAAACAAAAAGTCTGATTCCTTTGAATTATATTCACTAGCACTGGAGGAAAGTACGGACGTAAAAGACACTGCTCAGCTCCTCATTTTTATCCGAGGCATTGACTTGTCAATGCCTGAACGGGCGACGTCGATTCTGAATGTGGAGGGGGGGAAAACCGGAGGATCTGGAGGAAAATCCACGCAACCACGGGGAGAGCGAAGGGAGACACAGACTGCAAATACACAGCAGCAGGCGTCAGGGTCGGGATCGAACCCACGACCTCCTGTACACCAGGCGAGGTAGTTAACATCTCCTAGCCACCGCGTGGCTCCCCCCCCACCTCAATCTGCTAAAGTGTCTCCCTCCTCCCGCTGCCCCCCCTCGCTCACCTGCTACGTCGCTCCCCGCGTCCGCTCCGCTCCCTCGGTAGGCGAGAGCCCTCCCAGCGGAGTCCCCGGTGGGCCGGGAGCGTGAAGAGGAGGAGGAGTTGGGAGCGGACCGCACGAGCAGCGAGCGCGTGGAGAGGCGCCCGTGCTGCGTCGGGGAGTGCAGCTGGAAGCCCCAGGCGAGGTAGTAGAGGAGCGAGAAGAGGAGAGACCACGGGGAATGGAGGCCCATCAGGCCGCTCGCCCACAGGTGCTCCTCGCAGACGCGCGACGACGGCCATGGGCCTGCCACGGGGGGGGGGGGGGGGGGAGACACGGGGGAGTAAACGATATTCAACATCGCCTGCCACGCAGCACACCGAGGAGAGAGGCTTTGCTACAGCGGAGGAGGTGCAAGAGAATTCCAACGGGACCTACGTCTCCACCTCATCAGCCTCGTCAAGACCCGGGTTCGATTCCCGCTCACGGCAAACACCGGTGACGATTGTCTGAACCGGTCCTGTGCCCCTCCTAGGTCGACTCAGCCTCAAATGAGTACCTGGTGCGATGTGTAAACATCGCTAGCACTGGGGAGACAAAGGCGGTCGGGCGTGGTGCTGGCCACCCACCCCCTCGTGTGTCGTGCCGGCCTTCATAGGTGCTCGCTAACAGCACTTGCCCCAACAGCCCGTTTGGGCTACACGGGAAATCTTTGCGAGTTTCCCAGCCCCACCACTCCCACCACGTGTCTCCGGCACGAACCGTTGGAGCTGAGGGTCTCGCTGAGACGCAGCTGGAAGTCCGAGTAACACGCGTCGGTGAAGATGTTGTCTTGCCTGCCGCAGTCGCCCAGGTGCTGCACTCACGGCAAAACACAGGGTGCACACACACACGTACACAGTGTGTACGTGTGTATGTCTTTGTTTTTGTGTATGTATCTGTGTGTGTCACTGTGTGTGTGTGTGTGTCCATGTGTGTCACTGTGTGTCTCTGTGTGTGTCTCTGTGTGTGTGTCTCTGTGTGAGTCTCTGTGTGAGTCTCTGTGTGTGTTACTGTGTGTGTCAATGTCTGTGTCACTGTGTGTCACTGTGTGTCTCTGTGTGTCTCTGTGTGTGTCACTGAGTGTGTCTCTGTGTGTGTCTCTGTGTGTGTCTGTGTGTGTGTGTCTCTGTATATGTCTCTGTGTGCGTCTCTGTGTGTGTCTGTGTGTGTCTCTGTATATGTCTCTGTATATGTCTCTGTGTGCATCTCTGTGTGTGTCTGTGTGTCTCTGTATATGTCTCTGTGTGCGTGTCTGTGTGCGTCTCTGTGTGCGTCTCTGTGTGCGTCACTGTGTGCGTCTTTGTGTGCGTCACTGTGTGCGTCTCTGTGTGCGTCTCTGTGTGCGTGTCTGTGTGCGTCTCTGTGTGCGTCTCTGTGTGCGTCACTGTGTGCGTCACTGTGTGCGTCACTGTGTGCGTCTCTGTGTGCGTCTCTGTGTGCGTCTCTGTGTGCGTCTCTGTGTGCGTCTCTGTGTGCGTCTCTGTGTGCGTCTCTGTGTGCGTCACTGTGTGCGTCACTGTGTGCGTCTCTGTGTGCGTCTCTGTGTGCGTCTCTGTGTGCGTCACTGTGTGCGTCACTGTGTGCGTCACTGTGTGCGTCTCTGTGTGCGTCTCTGTGTGCGTCTCTGTGTGCGTCTCTGTGTGCGTCTCTGTGTCTGTGTGTGTCTCTTTGTGTGTATCTGAGTGTGTATCTGTGTGTGTCTCTGTGTGTGTCTCTGTGTGTCTCTGCACGTGTCTGTGTGAGTGTTGTAATGTCTATGTGTGTGTGTCTCTGTGTGTTGTGTCCTCTGGTGTGTCTGCACGTGTCTGTGTGAGTGTGTATGTCTATGTGTGTATGTCTATGTGTGTGTATGTGTGGTGTAGTGTGTGTCTCTGTGTGTATGTCTATGTGTGTGTCTCTGTGTGTGTGTCTCTGTGTGTGTCTGTGTGTCTCTGTGTGTGTCTCTGTGTGAGTGTCTCTGTGTGAGTGTGTGTGTGTCTCTGTGTGTCTCTGTGTCTCTGTGTGTGTCTCTGTGTGTCTCTGTGTCTCTGTGTGTCTCTGTGTGTCTCTGTGTCTCTGTGTGTGTCTCTGTGTGTCTCTGTGTCTCTGTGTGAGTGTCTCTGTGTGAGTGTGTGTACGCACCTTGTGTATGCACACGCACAGGTAGTAGAGGCTGTCTGCCGAGTACTCGCGGCCACTCGGCCTCCTGGCCTCCCGCAGGAAGCGGCAGAGGCCGACGCAGAGCTCCTTGGAGAGACACGCCGAGACACGGTCTGCACACACCGCTACGCAGGAGAGAGACACGGGGGAGACACGGGAGAGAGACACGGGGGAGGGGGGGAGGGAGGAGGATGAGGGGGCAGAGAAGAGGGAGTCGCGAGGAAACACCGAGAGGAGATTGTGGGAGCAGGAGGATGACGGAGATGCAGCGATGGTCTCCCCGTGTGTCTCCCCGTGTCTCCCCGTGTCCCCATGTCTCCCCGTGTCTCCCCGTGTGTCTCCCCGTGTCTTCATGTGTCTTCACGTGTCCCCACATCTCCCCATGTCTCCCCCTGTGTGTCTTCGTGTCTCTCCCCGTGCCTCCCCGTGTCTCCATGTGTCTCCACGTGTGTCTCCCCGTGTCTCTTCCCGTGTCTCCATGTCTCCCCGTGTATCTCCCCGTGTGTTTCCCCGTGTCTCCCCGTGTCTCTCCCCGTGTCTCTCCCCGTGTCTCCCCCCGTGTCTCTCCCAGTACATCCCCCGTACCGTCCTCCTCCTCCTCCTCCGCGTGTCTCCCCCTCCACGTGGTCTCCGCGTGTTCCCCGCGTGGTCTCCGTCGCCGCGTCTCGGCCACCCACAGCCTCCACGCGTCCGAGCCGCACTCGGCGCTCAGAGGAGTCTCCCTCACCCCCCCCGCATCCCCGCCCTGGAGAGCCGGACTATGGGGACCCGGTAGACACCAGGGATCAGGATCGGTTTCACCGGTGGGATCAAGGCCATGGGAGCGATCGACGCGATCGGAGGTCCCGCGCGGATCAATGGCCCCGCAGGGCTGATCAATAAAGCCCAAGGGGCTCATCTGTGTCGTCCCCTCGGAGGCTTCGCGATCGATCGGCCCGGTGGGATCGAGGCACTCCGAGGGATCGCGCGGATCACCGGGGGCGATGGTGCCGCAGGTATCGATGAGCTCCATCGGATCGTCGGGATCAAAGAGATCGGCGGACTCGATGAGATCGATGGGATCGATGACGAGACCGATATTATCGGTGGGATCAATGAGGTCAATATCGGCGGGATCAATGGAATCGGCGTGACCGACGAGACGATCGGTGGGATCAACGTCGGCGGGACCTACGCGACTAATAGGATCGGCGGGATCTGTGGGATCGGAGCGAGGGGAGCAGTGGAGTCGGATGGGCAGAGGCGGCGTGGGAGACAGGAGGTCTGAGCTGAATCTGGGATCTTGGGCTCGGAGAGGCAAAGGTGGTCCTGGAACAGCAAACAGGGGCCAGAGGTTAGTGAGCATCGCAGCATCGCCAACGGTATCGTGACCCGTCATCACACGTAGAGACACAGACACACGCAGACACACGCAGATACACACGCAGACACACGCAGACAGACACACGCAGACACACAGACACACACACAGACACACAGAAACACACACGCAGAAACACACACGCAGAAACACACGCAGACAGACACACGCAGACAGACACACACACAGACACACACACACACAGAAACACACACGCAGACACACACAACAACAACAACCGCCATTCGCCACTAAGTGGCGGTGACGTCACCACGATGCTTGTGCCAGGCCAAGTGCACCTTGAGGCCACGTGAAGTGTCGAACGCCCGCTGGCAGGAGGTCACGGGGCAGACCCAGCAGGTGCCACGGGTCGACTGACCGAGATGACCGAGATGACTGGCTGATGCACCACCTGTGCCCCCTACTGTACCAACTTGCTGTGCTTTAGCCACCCGGCGCTCCGCTCGTTGTTGTGAGCGTCGCTCCTCTGCCCTCCATTGTTGCTGGAGGGCGACTGCCTCCATCTTCCCAGGATGATGATGCTGCTGCTGATGATGATGCTCATGCTGCTGCTAGTGATGATGATGCTGATGATGATGCTGATGATGCTACTGCTGATGATGATGCTGCTGCTGATGATACTGCTGATAATGATGATGCTGATGATGATGCTCCTGCTGCAGCTAGTGATGATGCTGCTGCTGATGATGCTCCTGCTGCAGCTGATGCTGCTGCTAATGATGAGGATGCTGATGCTCATGCTGATGCTGATGATACTGCTGCTGATGATGCTGCTGCTGATGATGCTGATGATGATACTGCTGCTGCTGTTGATACTGCTGCTGATGATGCTGCTGCTGATGATGTTGTTAACCCCTGCTCTGCTCACCCTCCTCATCGGACGAGTCGTCCGTGGTGCTCGACCAGGTGGAGCCCACCGATGGGATGGCGCAATCCATCCGTGCGGCAACACCACACTCGGAGTCCAGCAGAGATGTCTTGTGGCGAAACTGAGAGACGAGAGTGAGAGAGTGAGAGGGTGAGTGAGAGGGTGAGTGAGAGGGTGAGTGAGAGGGTGAGTGGGTGAGAGGGTGAGTGAGAGGGTGAGTGGGTGAGTGAGAGGGTGAGTGAGGGGTGAGTGAGTGAGTGACAGGGTGAGTGAGTGGGTGGGTGAGTGAGAGGGTGAGTGTGAAGGGTGAGAGGGTGAGTGGGTGAGAGGGTGGGTGAATGAGAGGGTGAGAGGGTGAGTGAGTGAGTGAGTGAGAGGGTGAGTGAGTGGGTGGGTGAGTGAGTGAGAAAGTGGGTGAGTGAGAGGGTGAGTGAGTGAGAGAGAGGGTGAGTGAAAGGGTGATAGAGTGAGAGGGTGAGTGAGAGGGTGAGTGAGAGGGTGAGTGAGTGGGTGAGTGAGAGGGTGAGTGAGAGGGTGAGTGAGTGGGTGAGGGGGTGAGTGAGAGGGTGAGTGAGGGGGTGAGTGAGAGGGTGAGTGAGTGAGAGGGTGAGTGAGAGGGTGAGTGAGAGGGTGAGTGAGTGGGTGAGTGAGTGGGTGAGTGAGAGAGAGGGTGAGTGAGGGGGTGAGTGAGAGGGTGAGTGGGTGAGTGAGGGGGTGAGTGAGTGGGTGAGTGAGTGAGAGGGTGAGTGAGAGGGTGAGAGGGTGAGTGAGAGGGTGAGTGAGTGGGTGAGTGAGTGGGTGAGTGAGAGGGTGAGTGAGGGGGTGAGTGAGAGGGTGAGTGAGTGAGTGGGTGAGTGAGGGGGTGAGTGAGAGGGTGAGTGAGTGAGTGGGTGAGTGAGAGGGTGAGTGAGTGGGTGAGTGAGGGGGTGAGTGAGAGGGTGAGTGAGTGGGTGAGTGAGTGAGAGGGTGAGTGAGAGGGTGAGTGAGTGGGTGAGTGAGTGGGTGAGTGAGTGAGTGAGTGAGAGGGTGAGTGAGGGGGTGAGTGAGTGAGAAGGTGAGTGAGGGGGTGAGTGAGTGAGAGGGTGAGTGAGGGGGTGAGTGAGAGGTGAGTGAGTGGGTGAGTGAGTGGGTGAGTGAGAGGGTGAGTGAGAGGGTGAGTGAGAGGGTGAGTGAGTGGGTGAGTGAGTGGGTGAGTGAGTGGGTGAGTGAGTGGGTGAGTGAGAGAGAGGGTGAGTGAGAGGGTGAGTGAGGGGGTGAGTGAGAGGGTGAGTGAGGGGGTGAGTGAGAGGTGAGTGGGTGAGTGAGTGAGAGGTGAGTGAGTGGGTGAGTGAGAGGGTGAGTGAGGAGGTGAGTGAGTGGGTGAGTAAGAGGGTGAGTGAGTGAGAGGGTGAGTGAGAAGGTGAGTGAGAGGGTGAGTGAGAGGGTGAGCGAGTGAGAGGGTGAGCGAGTGAGAGGGTGAGTGAGAGGGTGAGTGAGAGGGTGAGTGAGTGGTGAGTGAGTGAGTGAGTGGGTGAGTGAGAGAGGGGGTGAGTGAGAGGGTGAGTGAGGGGGTGAGTGAGAGGGTGAGTGAGGGGGTGAGTGAGTGAGAGGGTGAGTGAGGGGGTGAGTGAGTGAGAGGGTGAGTGAGGGGGTGAGTGAGAGGTGAGTGGGTGAGTGAGTGAGAGGTGAGTGAGTGGGTGAGTGAGAGGGTGAGTGAGGAGGTGAGTGAGTGGGTGAGTAAGAGGGTGAGTGAGTGAGAGGGTGAGTGAGAAGGTGAGTGAGAGGGTGAGTGAGAGGGTGAGCGAGTGAGAGGGTGAGCGAGTGAGAGGGTGAGTGAGTGTCACTCACATTGTCCAGGGTTTCCGTGAGTTTCCGTTTCCGTGACAGCGTCCCCATGACAACCGAGGAGATCTCCTCATCTCCTGCACAAGAGAGAACCACGGTGGCTTAGAGATGTTAACTACCTCGCCTGGTGCACAGGAGGTCGTGGGTTCGATCCCGACCCTAACAACGCCTGCTGCTGTATATTTGGAGTCTGCGTGTCTCTCCGTGGAGATGTTAACTACGTCGCCTGGTACGCAGGAGGTCGTGGGTTCGATCCCGACCCTAACAACGCCTGCTGCTGTATATTTGGAGTCTGCGTGTCTCTCCGTGGAGATGTTAACTATGTCGCCTGGTACGCAGGAGGTCGTGGGTTCGATCACGACCCTAACAACGCCTGCTGCTGTATACTTGGAGTCTGCGTGTCTCTCCATGGAGATGTTAACTACCTCGCCTGGTACGCAGGAGGTCGTGGGTTCGATCCCGACCCCTGACGATGCCTGCTGCTGTATACAGGTAGTCCCCCGAGTTACGATATTTCGATCTTACGATGGCGATACGACAAAATTGCGGCAGGCAAACGCAGTAGCGTACGAGGTACGAATCTTGGTGAGTACAGTCCAATATGATACGTTACGATACGTTCAATGCATGTGTGATACGTAGCTTTAGCGATTTCATTTGAGGGTTACCACGAAACTATACGTTCAATGCATGTTAAAAGTTTTTTTCATAGCAGATAGGATTGTTTCCTGAAAAAAACTTTCTATTAAATTGCAGTTCATATAGGTAGGCTAAGAATTTACCTCGTTTTTTTACTTTACATTTCACTGTGCAATACAGTATTGTAATTAATAAATACATACAGTATATAGTTTACACAGTACGCTACTGCAAATTAATCTGTTTTGCTAAATTTTCACCATTCTTTAAGACTCCTGGGTAGGCTAGGCCATCTTCGACTTACGATATTTTTGACTTACGACGATGGGGTCGTCGTAACGCATCTCCATCGTAAGTAGAGGAACTGCCTGTACATCACTTGGTTGAGCCGCTATCATTATTACACGCTTTTATTATTTAACTCACTCTCTCTGTTGTTGTTGTTGTTGTCGTATCCTCAAATATTGTAACTCAATTTTAACCCACTTCCCAATGTGGTATCGACTGTACGGTGTTTTTTTCTGCAATATTTTGCTGTCTTTTCTTGGATTTTCTGTTTGCACTCAGTCACATAGTCACTTTAAGATGTTTTTTTGTTCATGTTTTTGTTTTTTGTCTGTTGCGGTTGCACCCGATTTAAGAGCCGAATGGCTCACCTAATCAATGAACTTGAACTTGACTGCAAACTTGTTATACATATTGTCATACTGAAGGCAGTACTATATTCTATAAAAAAAAAAATATTTTTAAACATTCATTTTTATTGATGACCACTGCCATGGCCGCGCCCATGGCCGCCGCTGCTACGGCTGTCGGGGCTGGAGGTGAGTGGCCGCCGGGTGGGTTGACGTGGGGGCCGCAAGCTGGCCCCTGCCTGGACGAGCGTGCGTTACAGGCGTACCGGAGCATCCCGCCGGCTGACAGGGCGTCTGACGCTCCAGGCGGCTCGTCAGCAGATGGCTGCTGCGTTTGAGCCTCAAATTTTCCACGCGTCGGCAGGAGGGGGAGTCGCCTTTGGTCTTGAGGTGTGCGCGCTCCTGGTGCTGGCTCAGGCCGCCTACCCCGACCTGGAGGGGAAGGCCTTGGACTCCCTGGCCCTCCACAGGTTGCTGGCCCTCGCGGCCGAGCTGAGCGTCGTGGAGGAGGCCAAGATAACATCGCTGGTCGTGGCGCACAACATGCAGGCTCGCCTCGCTCAGCGACGCCCGGCCGTGGTGGCGGCCGGGCGTCGCTCGCGGGAGGGACGCCGCTGCTCGCCGGCCGGAGAGGCGGTGGCGGGTGCGACCTCCTCGTCCGCAAGGCGCGGGGGGCAGGTCACCTGCTTCCGGCGTGGCCAGCCGGCCACTTCGAGCGGGGCTGTAATAACGCCCCCGGGGCCGTCGTACGGGCCTCCCCTTCTGCCACCGGGTCTCCGACGGCGGGGCCTTCGGCCGCTCCCTTCGCCTCACGCACCTAGCGGGGTTAGGGTCCGTCCTCAGGGGGTCATCTCGAGGGGGTCGGGCTCGTGGGCCGCGCGGTCGGTCGGGTGGCCCAGACGGACGCACCAGGGGAGGGCCCTCGCGCGTCGCGTTGTGGCTGCCGCTGCCGGGGTCCTCAACCGTTGCGGGACGAGCGCACGGGGTGGACATGCGGATCCTGGTGGAAACGGCTGCGTCCGCCACCATGGTTTCGGAGGCCATTCATCGGCTGCTGCCACGCAGCGTCGGCCCGCTGCGTCCGGTTTGTATGGCCGCCAACGGGGGCGGCAGCCTGGGGTCATTGTGGGTCACGTCGTCGCTTCCATCGCACTCGGCGACATTGAATCGGTGGGGCCCATTCTGGTCTCAAAGACCTTGGGGTGGTGCCGTGCCTTCTGGGGACGGATGTTTTGGCCAGGATGCCCGTGCAGATCCTGGTCGACCAGGGGTGGCGTGGAGATGCCGTCGGGAGGGCGGTTGCATTTTCCGCAACCCCCCTCTGGGTTGCCACCCTTGTGTGGGCCTGACCACGATGTCTGTCACCGTTC